ACAACAAAGAAAAATATATAGGACAATAGCTCTGATGAAAATATTGAATAGATATAAAAATTCTCAATAAAATATTAGCAAACCAAATTTGCCAATACATGTAAAATATGATATACCAGGATTAAGTGGGATTTATTCCTGGGATGCAAGTTTGGTACAATATCTGCAAGTCAATTAATGTGATTAACTGCAAAAACAAAATGAAGGATAAAAATCATACAATCGTATCAATAGATGCACAAAAAGCATTTGATAAAATCTAGCACCCATTTATAATAAAAATTCTCATCAAAGTGGGAATAGAAAGAATCGTCCTCAATATAATAAAAGACATATATGAAAAACCCACAGCCAACATCATACTCAAGGGTAAAAGAAATATAAGTGTTTTCCTTAAAATCAGGAATAAGTTGGGATATCCATTCTCTCCACTCTTATTCAACATGGTACTAGAAGTCCTAGCCACAGCAATCAGATAAGAAGAAATAAAAGGTATCCAATATACAAAAAGAGAGGTAAAGCTGTTATTATTTGCAGAAGACATGATACTGTATGTTAAGAACCCTAAAGATTCACAAAAAAGTACTAAAACTAATAAGTAAGTTCAATAAAGTAGCAGGGTACAAGATAAATATTCAGAAATATTTACTTTGCACACCATACACAAGAATAAACTCAAAATGAACTAATAACTTAAATGTAAGACCTAAAACCATGAAACTCCTAGAAGAAAACATAGGTAGTAAAGTCTCTGAGATTCCTCACAGCCATATTTTTTCTGACATATCTTATTAGGCAAGGGAAATAAATGGGACTACACTAACTAAAGGTTTTTCACAGTAAGGGAAACCATCAAAAAAACAAAAAGACAACCTATGAAATGGGAAATTATATTCACCAATGACACATACAATGAGGTGTTAATATCCAAAATTTATAAATAACTAAGACAAATCGACACTAGAAAAACAGACAGCCCAAAGAAAAAATTGGGCAGAAGACCTGAATAGACACTTCTTCAAAGAGGACATATAGATGGCCAATAGGCATGAAATGTTGCTCAGCATCACTAGCTATCAGAGAAATGCAAATTAAAACCATAGTGAGATACTCTCATACCTATCAGAATAAATTATCAATAAATCAACAAACAATAAGTGCTGGTGAGGATGCGGAGAAAAGGGAACGCAAATGCACTCTTGGTGGAAGGTGCACCCACTATAGAAAACAGTGTGCAGTTTCCTCCAAAAATTAAAAATGAAATTACTTTATGGCCCAGTGGTTCCAGTTCTGGGTATACATTCAAAGAAACTGGAATCACTAATTCAAGAGAATATATGCACCCCTATAGTACTGTAAATAATATACTTATTATTTACAATAGCTAAGATATGAAAGCAACGCAAGTGTCCATTAATAGAGAAGCAGGTAAAAAAGCTGTGGTACACACACACAATGGAATATCACTCAGCCATAATAAGGAATAAAATCTTACATTTTGCAACACCATGGGTGGACCTAGAAGTTATTATGTTAAGTGAAATAAGTCAGACAGAAAAAGATAGATACACTATTTCATTTATAAAAGAATCTAAAGAACAAAATAAATTAACATCAAAATAGAGACATACTCACAGATACAGAGAAGAGACTAATGGTTGCAACAGGGGGTACTGAATGGGAGTTGGGTAAAAAGGCAAAGGGGTCAAGTAGTACAAATTGGTAGTTTCAAAATTGTCACAGTGATGTAAATTACAGCATAGAGAATATAGCCAATAATATTATAATAACTGTATATGGTACCAGGTGGGTACTTGAAATATTGGGGGCACCAATTTGTAAAGTATTATTTTCTAACCACTATGCTGTATACCTGAAACTAATATAGCATAATATTGAAGGTAAACTGTATTTGAAAAGAAAAATTTAAAAAATAAGTAAAATGTGCAAATTGATAGTTAATTGTGCAAAAATATAGTTATGGGTTGTAGAGTACAGAATAGGGAATATACTCAATAATACTGTCATAACTATGTATGGTGTAAGATGTGTAATAGATTTATTGGGGTGGTCACTTTGTAAGTTATATAAAAATCTAATAACTATGTTGGACACCAGAAAGTAATATATGTCTACAGTAATTTTAAAATAAAAATTATTGAACAGGCACATGCAAAAAAATAAAACTACACCACCAACTTACACCATACACCAAAATAAACTTAAGATGGATAAAATACTTAAATTGTGACATCATAAAGGTCCTAGAGGAGAACACAGGCAGGAAAATTTCAGATATTCCATGCAGCAGTATTTTCACTGATGTTTCCCCTAGAGCAAGGAATAGAATAAACAAATGGTACTCTATCAAATTTAAAAAACTTCTGCATGGCTAAAGAAGACATCAGCAAAATGTAAAGGGAAACAACCATATGGGAAAACATATTTGGCAATGAGACCTCAGACAAGGGCTTGATCTCTAAAATATATAAAGAACTGACACAACTCCACACCAGGAAGACAAACAATCCAATTAAAAAAATGGGCAAAGGATCTAAACAGGCACTTTTCCAAAAAGAACATACAGAGGGGCTGGAGGGTTCCAGAGAACATACATATGAAAGGATGCTCAGCATCACTAGCCATCAGAGAGACGCAAACTAAAACCACAGTGAGATACCACTTTACACCAGTGATAATGGCCATCATTAACAAATCAACAAACAAGTACTGGTGAGGTTCTGGAGTAAAAGGAACTCTAGTACACTGTTGGTGGGAATGTGGACTGGTGCAGCCACTGTGGAAAACAGTGTGGAATTTCCTCAAAAAATTAAAAATGGAAATGCCTTTTGATTCAGTGATTCCACTTCTGAGATTACACCCTAAAAATCCTGAAACATAAATTTAAAAGAACCTATGTACCCTAATGTTCATAGCAGCACAATTCACAGCAGCCAAGTGCTGGAAGCAACATAGGTGCCCATCAGTAAATGAGTGTATCAAAACATTGTGGTACATTTACACAATGGAATACTATGCAGCAGAAAGAAAGAACTTCTACCCTTCACAGTAGCATGGATGAAACTGAAGAGCATTATGCTAAGTGAAATAAGCCAGGCAGTGAAAGACAAATATATAATCTCAGCTATAAGTAGAACCTAATCAACAAAACAAACCAATGAGCAAAAAAGAACCAGATACATGGAAATAAAGAACAAACTGACAGTAAGCAGAGGGGCAGGGGGAGTGGGGTAATGGGGAAAAAGGGGGAAGATGTACAAAGGACCCATAGACAGGGACAATGGGATCGGGATTGCCTTTGTGAGCAGGGGATGGATAGGGTAGGGGAGAACAATGAGGGGAAAAATGGGAACAACTGTGACCAAACAACAATAGAAAAAATTAAAAAGAAAACAGTATGGCAGTTGCTTAAAAAAATATTGAACTACCTACCTTACGATCTAGCAATTCCAATTTTGTGTATATGCTCAAAAGAATTGAAAGCAGGGTCTCAAAAGGATATTGGTATACCCATCATCACAGCAGTAGTTCAAATATGAAAATAACACAAGTTTCCACCCGAAGATGCATGGATAAGCAAAATATTTTATACACACACAATAGAATATTATTCAGCCTTAAATTTATGGAGATTCTGACACATGCTACAACACAGATGGACCTTAACATTATGCTAAGTAATGTAAGCCAAACACAAATGACAAATACTGTATGATTTTAATTATGTGAGGTAGTTAGAGCAGTTAAAATTATAGAAATAGAAAGTAGAATGGTGGTTTCCAGGGACTGGGGGGAGGGGTAAATGAGGACATAGTGTTTAATAAGTAGTATTTCAGTTTTTAAAGATAAAAAGAACTCTCAAGGTGGATGGTGGTAATGATTGCTCAACAACGTCAATGTAGTATTTAAGGCACTGAATTATACACTTAAAATGATTAAAACAGTAAATTTTGTCATGTGTACTTTACTGCAATAAAAATTTGTTTAAAAAGTGAATACATTAATAATTTAGAAACTTGGGCTTTATATAGTAATGGAAAAGAAACCCTAAGTATCTCTTTAAGGACCTAAAACTCAAACAACCATAATATACAAAATATACTTTACAACCTCAGGGCTGTAAAGGTGGTATATCTTTATTTATTTATTTTAATTGTTCAAGTACAGTTTTCTGCCTTTTACTCCCACCCCAGCCCATCCCCCAAGCCCTCCCCATGTCCCTCCCATTTCCATGCCTTCCTAGTTTTTGTGCATGTGTCCTTTATACTTGTTCCTGCAAACTCTTCCCCTTTTCCCCTAAAATTCCTACCCCTCTCCCCTCTGGTCACTGTCAGTCTGTTCTCTATTTCAGAGTCTTTGATATATCTTTGTAATGAGTTTCTCATTACAATGTCTGGGTATTAAAACACAAAAGATGATGATAATACTAGCTGTCTTATAAATAAGGATTGGTCACAGTAAACATTTAAGGTGTTATTGGTAGAAGGGAGTGCTAATGTTATAGGTAGTTCTGCTACTATTCCTTGGTAAGGGCTGACCTAGAAATGGTCATTTTCTTTTATCCAGAAATAACCAGTTCATCAAAAGGAACTCTTACTACCATTCTTGATATTGGATCATAATGTTAAACAACTTTCTAGGGTACTTCGTCAAAACCTATCCAGCAGCCAAACACGGCTCTAAAGTATTCAGTGACTGGGAACATTGGAAACTACAGGTTAATTCTTCATTCACCTCGTCTTTTCATAGACCATATCCCTTCCCAGACAACAGAGACCTAAATTTCATTTTAGTCTTATTCTTCAAATATGTCTCACAGTCACTTTTCATAATCATTTTAAGTGGATGAAACAAAGCTTAAGGAGAGCTCACTCTGCACATACTACAGAAAATGTTCTCATTTCTCTTTGAAATTCAACAGTATGTATGATGATATGATTATTAGCCTTAAATTATTTAAAAAATTATCTGTAGCTTACCTACTCTTTTCCCTGCTGCTGTATTATTTCCACTCATTCCAATACCACGGGCAGACTACAATTCAAACAAAAAACATCTATGGAGGTGAGTTAATGGAGAACAGAAGAAAATATCAAACATAAAATACTTGCACTTTATTACAAAAATGCTATTGGGCTTTTATTTTAAATTACTTATTTAATCTAATTTTAATTAAATTAACTTGAAAACTGATTCTCACATTCAGCAATATTGTGCTTACTACTTATGTTTAAGAGAGTATTAATTTGATGGCTGAAATAAAAGTTCTCATTTGGGAAAATCATTAATAAAAATAGCATTTAAAAGTACAGCATTCCCCCCTTGTCCATGGTATTGCTTTCCACAGTGTCAGTTATCCAAAGTCAACCACCATCCAAAAACATTAAATGGGAAATTCCAGAAATAAACAATTCATAAGTTTTAAGTTGAATTCAAAAGTTTTAAGTTGAATAAACAGTTCAGAAGTTTATTCATTCTGAATAGCATGATGAAATCTTACTCCATCCCCCAGGAAAGAAATCATCCCTTTGTCCAGAGTATCTAAACTCACTTGATCTCATCATATAGACAATTGTACCATCTCACATTATCACTGAAGAAAGAGTAAGTCTAGTACAAGATATTTTGAGAGGGAGAGAAACCACATTCACATAACTTTTATTAGACTATATTGTTATAATTGTTCTGCTTTATTATTAGTTGTTAATCTCTTACTGTGCCTAATTTATGCATATAAATTAAACTTTGTTACAAGTATATATGTATGGGAAAAACATAATATACATCACATCTGGTATTATTGTGGTTTCAGACATTCACTGCAGGTATTGAAATGTATCCCCCATAGATAAGGGGGGCCAGAACTACTGTGATAAGTTGTTTACATGAAATTGTTTTCAAGTTACAGTTCTCAATTTCAGACTAAAACATTATTTAAAATTTACCTATCAAAAAGATTCTCTACAAGCTAGATAAACATTTTCAGACAGACTATTAAAAGAAGTCAGCCTTAGGCCTCCTTATTTATGTAAACAAAAAATAAATTTTAAATATGTTGAATCATTACAAGGATAACCACTACTAGAACATATAGAAAGGAAAATACTTACTAGAAAAAAATCTGTAGGTTCTAACTGGGGAGAACTTTTCCTAATGCATTTTTCTTGAAAATGCTGGAGGTCTGTGAACAGCCCAGTTCCAGAGGTCCGAAGCCTACCTATCCCACCTGTGCTCTGTAACCCTTCTCTGCTTGCACTCTGGGCCAGCGAAGCAAGAAAACCTATATTATTTATACTGCCAACAGGCTCTTTGGAAGCCTTGCTAGCCATTTCTCTGATGTCTCGAGCCTCAACTTTAGAAATAATATTGGATCTTTTTCCAGATGAATCAACTTTAACAGTTCGAAAGCGAGTAGTCCTAGAGAAATAAGAATTAGTTATATTTTGAACATCCAATGACCGAATCACATTTTGTGAAGCAGAAGACTGGAGATTCCCAGACTCATAGCATTTGGACTGTCTCTGTGGTTTCACCAGAGAATTAGGGAGTGACACTGGTGTAGAACAGTGAAGAGGTGACATGAGTCTATTCTTGTGAGGATTTAATTCATGGTTGTTGAGAACTGTAGTCTCTACTGATTCACCACTCAACACTCTTGCAACATGTTTAAGGTGCTGCTCTGTAGCTTTCAACCCTTTATCACCATTAGTAAGTAAGAAATCAGGATTTACCTTCCGGGTGCCTTCTAAGGTGCTGCTCTGTTCATCAATATTTCCTTCTGTAAACAAAGCAAATGAACCCACTTCAGGTAGAAGTGATTTTTCAGTTACAAACTCTTCAGAAGTTGGAAATAAAATAGTGTCATCCTCATTATTAGATGACAAATTTCCTGAAAATTGTTGTGTCCGCCTAGGCAGGAATGATCCAAGATGGAGAATAGAATCAGCAAACTCTTTGTCATTTTTGAACTCCACATGGGTTATCTGAGTTGGTAGTTTGATGTTGCCATTGGAATGAGACTGTGTGTTACTCTCCCAGTTATCATCTTCCTTACAAAAATCACTAGTTATAGATGTTAGGGGTCTATCAGCAGGGGGCAGAGTTGTCAAACTTGAAATTGCACTGCAGGATGTTTCAGGCAGATATACATTCCCAGGAGAAGGTAAACAAGACTGCCCAATGTGGGGGAGAACTCTTAACAATCTGTGCCGAACAGCTGCGGTGGAACTACTAGAAGATCGAGGAGCTATAGGTGGGCGAGGTTGTACCTTGACAGCTTTCTTAGGCTAAAAGAAAAGAGTGAATATATAATTCCTTTACACAGTCATTACAGTCATTTTTTTCTGTCCATTAATAAAAGTTAATAAAGGGAAAAAATGATTTACTATAACACATTGGCATTTTGATTATTTTAATTTAAAATGAGGAGAATTTTGCTGTCTTCCTTAAGTATAATTTTCTGAGAATAATTTTATGTCCCTCACTTCTGATTAATTATAAGAGTTTTGCTGAGAAGAAACCTCAGTTTATATTAGATGTGGCATTGTTGACCTATTTTAGGTACCAAACAACTCTTACTAGCAAGATGAGTAAATGATTGGCAAGTAGATATTGCAGAGAAGAATTAACAGAACTAAACTGCTCTCCTGGAAAAGCCCTGCTTGCAATGTTGGTCCTTGGCTGACTTCTGGAAACATATATTTCAAGAGGATTCCCGCCATCCTCACTAATAAGAATGGCTCATTGTGCCTAACCTGTTTTAACAAACAGTTTATGCTGAATGCCCCCTTTCCTTCTGGGAGTCTGAAGTTTTAGTACATACTAGCCAAAGGGTGTCTACACGAACGGCCTCTAATAAAGCACCTAAGCACGAAGTCTCTAATGAGGTTCTCCAGAAAACAACATTCTGCATGTGCTGACACAACTTATCGATAAAGGAATTAAACATATCCTATGAGACCACACCAGGATGCTTGGAAGATTGTGCCTGGTTTCCGCTTTCCCTTTGCTGATTTTGCTTTATATTCTTTTTCTGAAATAAATCTTAGCCATGAATACAACTATATTCTAGTCCTGTGAGTCTAGCAAACTATCAAACCAGGGAGTGTCTATAGGTCTCTAATAGAGTAGGTTTTAGATAATAATGAAAGTATTGCAAAAATTCATGATGTTATAAAGTTGAAGATTAAATATGAAGCCTTAGCTCTTATCCTTAAGGTATAAGCTAATATGAGCATCCAGATAGGATAAAATACCTGATGACATACCAATACTTACAACCTAAAAATAAAAGAAAAGCTACATAATTCAGTAGATACCATTTGAGTCAAAAAGTGAAACTAAAAATCCAAAGAAATAAGGATGTTGGAAAGTTATGCTGGCTCCAGTAGCTGCTTATATCTGTAATTCTATACTTAGTGAAAATATTCCTAAAAAAATGAACATAATGACTTCTGGGCTGTAGAGATTTATGGTAGTTGCCTAAATTTGAATTTCTCCATAATTTCTCAAAAATATATAAATCAACAACATAAACTAATAAAACCACCCATAATCCTTCATCAAAAGTAAAAGACAGGTACAATTAATTTCAAATTACCTGTAAGTAGGAAAATACTCAAATTCAGGAAACTTATCTGCAAAGCCTATGCCTATGGTGAGAAATAAGCAAGAGTGTCGAGCAAGAAAGGAAGGAAGGAAGTAAGAGGGGAAGGAGGAAAGGAAGGTAAGAAAAAAGAGGGGAAGGGAAGAGAGAAATATGGATAACCTAGGGCTGATGGAACAAATATAAAATAAATCCAATAAGAGAAAATCCCACTTGATTATAAAAAGATACAGTAAGCAGCAAGTTTAAGATGTAGGAGATTAAAACACAAGCTACCAGGGTATAAAAAGGGCAAGTGACTTAAAACTGTTCAAGTCCTGAGAATTAGCTCTAAGAAAGCACCACTTATGTAGAAAGAAGGGGTAAGTCGGAAGGAAAAGGCACCCATTAAGAACTCAATAGTAGTTTTTATTCCAGCCTAGATGGAGGCATAGGTATACTTTGTCTCCTCACACAACCAAAAGTTAGCAACAACAACAACAAAAAAAACCAAAAAGTAACCAGAACTACCAGAAAATTGAACTATATGGAAGTCTGACAACCAAGGAGATAGAGAAGAAACATTATACAGGCTGGTAGGAGAGGTGGAGATGGAAACTGGGATGGAGAGGACTCACAGCAGGCTAGAGGACCAGGGTGGGCAAGGTGGCAGCTGGCTGAGCAGGTACTCCCTCATCTGTGTGCGGATAACCAAGAGGAACAACTGCGGAGCAAGACAGATAGCAAAATCCAGGGTTCCAGCAGAGAGAAATAAAGCCTCAAAATCTCTAACTGAAAAAACCTCTGGGGGTTGAGATGGCAGAAGAAACTTCCAGCTGCACAGGAGAGTTTGCTGGAGAGACCCACAGGGTCCCAGAACATACACAAGCCCACCCACCCGGGAATCAGCACCAGAGGGCTCGATTTGCTTTTGGGTAGCAGAGGAAGTGACTGAAAGCTGGCTGAGAGATGAGCAAGTGGCATCGTTGCCTCAAAGACCCCTTCCCCATATACAGCACCCCAACCCAGTGAAGTGGGTTGCCCTGCTCTGGCAAATACCTAAGGCTCTGCTCCTTACTACTAACAGGTGCTTCGAGACAAAAAAAAATGTGGCCCAAATGAAAGAACAGATCAAAGGTCCAGAAAACTACAACTAAGCTATGAAGAGATAATCAACATATCAGATGCACAGTTCAAAACCCTGGTAATAAGGATGCTCATAGAATGGCTGAGTATGGTCACAAAATAGAAGAAAAGGTGAAGTCTACACAAAGTGACATAAAGGAAAATGCACAGAGAACCCACAGTGATGGAAAGGAAACCAGAACTCAAATCAATGATTTGGAGAAGGAAGAAATAAACATTCGACCAGAATAGAATCAAGAAAAAAATTCAAAAAATTGAGGAGAGCCTGAGGAACCTCTGGGACAACTTTTATTTTTTTGTTTTGAAGTGTTTTTTATTTTATTGTTACTCAAGAACATTTGTCTGCATTTTTCCCACATCATTCCCTCCCCACCCCAGCCATCCCCACCTCCCTCCCCTGCTTTCACACCACCCTTGGTTTTATCCATACGTGCTTTATAGTTGTTCCTGAAAACCCTTCCCTTCTTTCCCCCCTTTATCCCTCCTGCCTCCCCTCTGGTTACTGTCATATTGTTCTTAATTTCAATGTCTGTGGTTATATTTTGTTAGCTTGTTTATTTTGATGATTAGGTTCCAGTTAAAGGTGAAATCATATGGTATTTGCCTTTGACTGCCTAGCTCAATTCACTTAGCATAATGCTCTCCAGATCCATCCATGCAGTCACAAAGAGTAGGAGCTCATTCGTTCTTTCTACTGAGTAGTATTCCATCATGCAAATGTCCCACAATCTACAATCAGTAAGTCCATTCATTTACTGATGGGCACTTAGGTTGCTTCCAGCATTTGACTATTGTATATTGTGCTGCTATGAACATTGGGGTACATTGGTTCTTATGGATTAGTGTTTCAGGATTGTTAGGATATAATCACAGCAGTGGAACTGCTGAGTCAAAAGCAGTTCCATTTTTAGCTTTCTGAGGAAATTCCATACTGTTTTCCACAGTGGCTACACCAGTCTGCATTCACACCAACAATGCACTAGGGCCCTCTTTTCTCTACTTCCTCTCCAACACTGGTCTGTTGATTTGTCTATGATGGCCATCCTGACTGGTGTGAAGTGGTATCTCACAGGGGGGTTTTAATTTGCGTCTCTATGATGTCTAGTGATGCTGAGCATCTTTTCATAAGTCTCTGGGTCCTCTGTATATCCTCCTTGGAGAATTATCTCTTCAAGTCTTTGGCCCATTTTTTAATTGGGTTTTTGTCTTCCTGGATGGAGTTGTGTGAGTTCTTTATATATTTTGGAGATCAGAACCATACCCAAGGTATCACTGGCAAATACATTTTGCGATAAGTTTGAATGTTCCAACATCTGAATCATAGGGTGCCAGAAGGAGAAGAGGAAGACCAAGAAATTGAAAACCTATTTGAAAATATTATGAAGGAGAACTTCCCCAATCTGGCAAAGGAAATAGAATTCTAGGAAGTCTAAGAAGATCAGAGTCCAAGAGAAGTTGGATCCAAAGAAGTACACACCAAGCACATAATTACGTTATGTAAGATTACAGATAAAGAGAATCTTAAGAGCAGCAAGAAAAAGGAGACAGTTACCTACAATGGAGTGTGCATAAGACTATCAGCTGATTTCTCAAAAGAATCCTTACAGGCAAGAAGGGGCTAGAAAGAAATATTCAAAGTCATGAAAGGCAAGGACCTACATCCAAGATTACTCTGTCTGGGAAAGCCATCATTTAGAATGAAGGACAGATAATGTGCTTCCCAGATAGTGTTAAGCTAAAGTACCTCATCATCACCAAGCCCTTATTGTCTGAAATGTTAAAGGGACTTATATAAGAAAAAGATGATGATCCTAAATATGAACAGTAGAATGACAACAAACTCACAACTATCAACAATTTAACCTAAAAACAAAAACAAAAACAAAACAAAACAAAGCAAACAATTAGAATAGGAACAGAATCACAGAAATGGAGATTACCGGGAGGGTTATCAGTGGGGAGGTGGAGAAGAGAAAATGGGAGGAAGCTATGGGAAATAAGAAGTATAAATGGTAGGTATAAAATAGACATGGGGCTATTAAAAATAGTATAGGAAATGTAGAAGCCAAAAAACTTATATGTATGACCCATAGACAGGAACTAAAGGTGGGGGGTAATGCTGGTGGGAGGGTATGCAAGGCAGAGGGAAAAAAATAGGGAAAATGGAAAAATCATAATAGCAAACTCATTAAAATATTTTTTATTTTTAAAAAATACTTTAGGGACTTCCACCAAGATGGAGGCATAGGTGGAGACGTGGTGCCTTCTCACACAACCAAGTTTAGAGATGATTAAATATTAGCAACAGAAAACACAGCCAGAACACAGAAAATTGAACTTTTCGGAAGTCTGTTAACAACAAATTCTTCAGCCTGACTGGTAAGGGGAGAAACCAGCAGCTGGTGGAGCGGGGTTGCACAGAAAAACTCAGTCAGACAGACTCAGGTGCGCAGAATCCAGGCGCAGGGTTGGACCTAGTGAGAGACCTAGCAAGCGACCTCGGGGAAATGGCGAGGGAGCAGGGCTGCGGGTTGACTGTGGTCGTGCATTTGTGCG